GCTGGTCACCCATTGTATGGGAAGGAGTTTGATGACATTAATTATGGGGGGATTATCCAGTGATTCATATTTGCAGTCCCCGGTGCTCATTAGATGTTAATGTTTGCCTGGTATGGGAATAAGAAACGAGAATGTAAATCCCCAATAGCTGGCTGCTCTCATTAAATTAGCATTTATTGTCATCTACCGCCACTGCGGTTATTCGTTTCTGTTATCATTACCCTATAGACAAACACGGATCAATGAACGGCAGGTTTCCTAATGAGGGAGTCATTTTTCTCCTTACCCAGCGTCTGTACAGTATGTGTGGTGTTCAAATGACTCTCCTGCTTCAAGTCTGCAGTCAGCCCACAATTCAAATGGGTTTTCGTGTTTTATTTTACACTCCCCTAACCTCCAGGCCATATTGGACTGTGCTGACTCATCACTGAGAGTTATACTCTGGGAAAACAAAAGCTCTGCTTTTGCCACTCATCGATGTTCGTATCTTGAGGGCAATTATTGGTCACCTTCATTCCAATACCACTGTTTGTCTCAAAATCGTATATACATATATATTACATATTGGCATGTTCTTTTAGTTGGAACGTAAAGGAACTTTGTGTCCAACCATGGCAAAACAACTGTGGCATTTTTCCTATATCCTGACAAATTACCTGAAGTTAACAGGGAGTTCATGTTTGCCTGCTTTCACCTCCTGACCACCGGTAGCTCAAATTCGAATGAATAAACTTCTTTAGCTATCGACAGAGGAAATGTGGAGCTTTCCGTTGAAACAAAATGTGAAGGTGTAGGGCTATGGTATTTTACAGAGGATGGGGAAAAACAACAACAACAAAAAAACAAACAAACAATTAAAGTAAAATAAAAGTAAAATTTGTGTTCTAATTACACAGGTTTTAAAGCACTAGTATTGCAATCTGTCCTTCCCTTTAGAAGTGGACTAACCATGTTTTTTTCTCAAAGTGGAGGCCTCACCGAGGTGGCATGAAACACTGAAGGAAAAGAGAAGAATCAAAAAATAAACTTTATTCTCTGTACAACTCTTTGTAACTATTCCTACAACTAATGGCTATTTGTGATCCTATTTGTGAGCCGGATTCTCAATGGTACCTAAACAATCCTCGCGTGCAACGTCGGCATGACAACGTTATAATCTGTTGACCTGGTGGTTTGCACCTGTTGTGGCCCTGAAATGCCTTTTCCCTTTTACAGCAACGTACTTGCGTGGGTCTGACTTTTCCACTTTCAAAGGGCTTAAAATAAAACATAGCATGTCTACACATGGACGAACACCGAGTCAACGAGTCCATTCCTCCCTGTCTGTCACAGACCCACACACAAGAGGTTTACTTTCTTCTGTTCTGTTCGATCTGTCAACAGTTTGTTGAAATGTTTATTATACGGTCTTGACAATGTGTTTGTTAATAATTTCCTAATATATTTCCTTTTGGTAATAAATATACAGTGGGGCTACATGATACGAGCTAACCGAGATATGAGTTTTTCAGGTTACAAGTGTCATGTCTGTCTGGTTCCGTGTTTTCCTGTGTTCTTTGTGGGGTTATCTGTGGGATCACACTCACCTGTTTGGTAATTAGCTTCACTTGTGTCACCTGGTGCTCCCTGTGTGTATATATACCCCTCTCCCTTACTCTGTCAGGGTTGGATCATTGTGATTGTGGTGTTGTGTGTTTGATCATTGTGACTGTGTTAGAGCTTCATGTTCGTGAGTTTCCTACTCTGTGTTTCCTCGTGTT